CGTGCCCAACACAATACACATCATGTGGCGGGTGCCGAAAAGTCGTTTGTGCTTTGTCACCTGGAAGTGTCCTAATTACTGACTGTATGCTGAGCTGTCACAATAGACTTATTTTAGAAGGAAATTTCCCTTCCCTTTTAAACAAACAAAACATACTATTATTTTAAAATCTTAAATTCTAGTCATGATTTCATAACAAGGAATAGTCTCCTTGCAGTATCAACAAAAGGAAAATAGCTTGCTCTGTATGATAATAATAGCTCAGGAGAGAACAGAGAACAATTTACTGCTCCCACAATCTCTCTTTACATGAAAAACAGTGAAGTTCAATCTTAAACAAAGTTTTCCTGCCACACTGTCAGGTGTGCAGCAGGGACTGTGTTGCTGGGCAACGCTGTGAGGCTAAGCCCCAGGATCCATTCTTACATAATTGTAAATGGTGCATCCACCAGCAGTGCTGATCCCAAATGGGGGGGACTCGGTATCACTGGCTTGATAAGCTTTTCCTTTCTTTTTGTAAAATATTCCCTTCATATGAAAGGCAGAGATACTGGGGCAGGGAGTGGGAGTAAGGGAAGGAGAGAGATTTTTCCATCTATTGATTTGCTCCCCACATGGCTGCAACTACTGGGGTTGGAGCTGGACCAGGCCACACTGGGAAGGAGCCAGGAGCTTCTTCCAGGTTTGCCATGTGAGTGCAGGGACCCGTGCACTTCAACCATCTTCTGCTGTTTCCCTGGCCATTGGCAGGAAGTTATTTCAGAAGTGGAGCAGCTGAGACTCAAACCGGTGTGTTCAAATGGACACATCACTGCAGATGATGGCTTAACCTGTTAAGCCACAATGCCAATCCCTTCATTTTTTTAATCTAAGATTTATTCATTTACTTATTTGAAAGGCAAAGTGACTAAAACAAGGACGTAAAGATGAGGGCAGATGGAGGTTTTCCGCCCGTCACCTAAGTCCTCAGATGGTTGTAATGACCAGGGGGCTGAGTGAGGCTGAAGGCAGGAGCCAAGGACTCTCTCCTGATGTTCCATCTTGGACTGCTCTCCTGCACACATTGGCTACGAACTCACAGAGAAGTGGAACACTAGGATTAGCTCATGTGGGATGTCACCGACTCAAGTGGCAAATTACCCACCGTGCCTTCATGTTAACCCAAGAAAACATTTTTCAAGTTTTTTAATGAAAAGTTGAATATCTGTTTTTAGGGTGAAACTTTGGTAATGATACCATGGCCTTATTAGTGTCTTCAGGTTTTAAGTGTCATTTACCTCTCACATGTCGGGTCAGGGCAGACGGAGTAGGGAGGGGTAGAAATCCAACCTTGTATTTCAAGTGAAGCCTTCCGCAGAGAGTTCCCCCAGGTCCTAGAGAAAGACGCTATCAATCGGTGCTTTTAACATGAGTGACTGCCAGATGCGCCTCCCCTTTGGTTTAGGCCCTAGGTGTGTTAAGTTGGAGACTTCAGAAACCTTCAAGGATGATATAAATGCACGGTGTTTGGTTACACTTCCATAAGGTCATCGTATTCGGCAGTGCACCCCACACCACCGCACTGCTGACAACTTGGCAGGAAAACTTTAAGACTGAAACATCATTGCTTTTATTTAAAAAATTTTTTTCATTGCTTTTATTTAAAAGGAAGTTGGGAGAGGAATGAATTTAGCTCTCGAGCATCAGTACTTGTGGCACTACTTTTTACAGATGGGGAAACTGAGGCACAGGGAGTCCCATAACTCCTCGAGGTCCCAGGGCCAGCTTTGAAAGGCGGAGCTGAGATCCCCCAGAGAGCCTGCCTCCGCGGCTCTTGCCTTCGCACGCCTCACGCTCTGTCTCACGCTTGGGAGAGAAGCTTACATTCATTGCCTTAGCCTCCTCTCTTTAGATCTTGCGGCTACACTGTCTCTGATGAGCTGAATGGAAACTGCAGCTAAATCGCGTATGACGTAGGTGTGATATCTCACACATGACTTCCTCCCAGTTTTTCTTTGTTGCCTCTCAGTTTCTTCATGTTCCTCCCCCTGCTCCCCCAAGCTGGCTCTGTGTCACGAGCCATCCCCTTCCGGGTGATCTGACACATCTGCACGCTGTTCCAGTGTGAATTCTAGGTTTTCTACGATGAAACTCAGCGTGCTGCTCTAGTGTGACTCTTCGCTCGGATTCTGCAGCCGGAAGTTAAGTCGTTCCAGTCTTCACACTTGGTTCTTGCCGACTGATTAGATGCATGTGAATTACAGATCACCTTGTCTAACAGCTGGGAGCATGTATTTACCTATTCCTCTCTTAATTTCAGGCCTTATTATTTCACACTCATGCGCATTTCAAAAATCTTACCATAATTTTCTAATTTAAGTCTCATTTTCTTCTGAATTCTTCACTAAGAAATTTCTTTCAGTTATAGTAATTCTTTGTTTAAAACCCATCCGAAACTTGCTTTTTTCATTTTGATGCATATGGAAAAAATATCCGTATTATCATGATATGAAAAGGTCCTGGTGATTAAACCTCTTACTTTTCTTGTTTTTTTTTTTTTTTCTGAAGAATAATTCACTACATTTTCTGCTTGTATTCTGTGATTTTACATCTTTAGGTTTGGCTTCTTGGTCTATTTGGAGTTTATTGAGGTATGATGTGACATATGCAGGGCTTCGTTTCATCCTTTCCAATTGTGTCAACATTGTTTTTCAATAATTCTCTCCCATCCCAGTGATTAGAAGTACATGTTATTTTTAGATAAATGGCACTTAGCACATTTTGGGGGATACAGAATTGATTTATTCGTGAGAACAATGTAAACATCATGCTAACAGTTTCTATGTGTTGTGCGTTTACTGCCGGCCACACGTTGTTAGCACACTGTCCGCATGACCTCGTTCATTCCTTACAGCAGGACTTGCTGATCCATTCTACAGACTGATACTGTCAGGACAGAATCACTCATCTTTGTCCCTGGGGCCTGTGGCGAAAGAATGGCAAAGCCAGAATTGCATCTTGTGCTTATACAGTCAGTATCTGGGGAGCTCAGTAGAAATACTTATTAATGCTCAGCAAACTTTAATATAAAAATAAATTCTCTAGGATCTTGTAAAAATACAGATTCTTGCATTATTTGTTTGGAAGGTAGAGTTACAGGCAGGGAGAGAGAAAGAGAAAGGAAGAGATCTTCCACCCACTGGTTCACTCCCTAAATGGTCCCAGTGACTGGAGCGGGGCCACCGTTTGCTGCTTTCCCATGTGCTTTAGCAGGAAGCCGGATGAGAAGTGGAGCAGCCGGGGCTGGAATCAGAACAGGTACCCTGTCAGCACCACAGGCAGGCGCTTAATGTACCATGCCAAAATGCTGGCCCTAAAATGCAGATTCTAATTCATCAAATGTGGTACTGGGATTATGCTGTTTTTCTAACAAGCTCCCTGGTTATTTTTACACTGCGGCTTTAATGATAATGTGAGGAATTGTGGGAGAAAAGTGTCCTTTTGTTCTTAGAATTCTTATCTTTGAAATACATTTAATAGAAGTATTTTGAAAGCCAAAAAAATAATAAGCCTGCATTTTTCGCATAGATTAGGGAAACTAATAAGATAAAAAAGATGGAGTGATGATTAATTTCCAAATGTTTAAAAACAAAATGAGATTACTAAGTGGGATATTAAATGCAAATTTAATTCAAAACCTGTACAAGACAATTCACAAATAATGTTCTTAAATAGTTAATAAAGGGTTTTAAACTGAAAGCTGAGTTAGGGGAATGTTTAAGGGCAATATTGCATTCCTTATTTAAAACTGCACTGACTGATGGATTGATTGCTTTAAGGCACACAGTCAGAGACGGATGTAACGGTCTTGGGTGCACTGGCTTGTCCTCCCAATGCCTGCAACATCTGGGACTGGGTCAGGCTGACAGCCGGGAACCATGTGCTCTGCCTGGGTCTCCTGTTTGTATGGCACAGGTTTGGTCACCTGAACACTCCCCTGGGGCCTCCTGGACTGCACATTAGCAGGAAGCCAGAATCAAGAGCGGCTCCAGGACTGGAACCAGGGACTGTGCAGTGGGGGCGAGCAACGACACCTTTTCTACTCTGCCAAATGCCTGTGTCTCATTCCTTCTAACAAAAAGAAAAATTGCTATTTTATTGGCAATAAGATTTCGGTCTTATGTTTTACATTATTATGGCATCATTATTTCTTAGAAGCTGGCAGTCACCATGATTAAAAATATCTGAGAGCCCTTAGACACCTGGGAGAGCAGGCAGCCGTTAGAAAAGGGCGATGCACTGGGACTTTTGCCGAGAGAGCAGTGCCTGTCGGGGTTGCGTTGGGCACGGAGAGGGGGTGGCTGAGATTGTAACAGTGAAGACCTGTCCATCCCTGGGAGCTGCCAGGTATTCAGTGTGAATTTTAAGTTACCAGTAATTAACGCAGTGGGACAAAGACAGACCCGTGAGCCACATGCTGATGGCTCAGGAAGTGGTGGAGGAACTGTCAAAAATGTAGACAAAGTTAATGAGGAAAAAAAAACGGAAAAAAAAAAAGAGAAAAGAATGTATCATGCTTTTCATTTCTGTCACTCTGGTATGCATTTTTATACAACGGAAGGGCATTAAATATGTGCTTTCACAAAATCCAGTGAAAATAGCAAAATTTAGTAATGGTAACGTTTTTATAACATTAATCTACCGGTAGCAAATATTGTCCCAGTCTTTCTTTAAAATTTCACTTCTTCAAATATGTGGATAGTGGTACATTCAAATAAGCTAAATATTTAAGAAGTCAAGTGACAAATACCTTACCTTACATTGGTTGTCTTGCACAAAATGCTAACAGAAATGTTATTTCCTCTTGCCAAAATATTTTCCATACAAATGTCTGTACGTACTTTTACTGACAAGTCACCCAATCTCCACTGTACTATAAAAACTGTACAGATTTGATAAGATCTACCTACAGTGCTTGGTAGGTTTTGTAATTAAGCATTGATGCCTTTTGTTTCCTCCAGAATCACTTGGTGTTTGTGACTCTGCAAAATGCCTGCACATCTCGGCGCGGTCACAGGTCTGTTCAAGTCCATCAGCCCGGGCTCCACCGTCATCAGAGCACCCGAGGAACCGCATCCTAGAAAGTGAGATCATTTGAGCAGGTTGGTGTAACTACCTCTACACTCATTAATTCTTTTACCAGAGAATCTCAGATTCTAGGAGGTTGCCAACAGCCTCGTTTGAATTTCATCTCCTTTATTATTCCATTTGCAGACACTTGTCACTGAATAAACACTAATGACCAGGGGAGCAGCCGAAAGGCAGGAAGCAAAAAGGGAAGGGACAGGGAGGAAAGAGCAGGGGATGGCCCCTAACCAGGTAACCAGGTCCTGGGTGGTCACAGCTGGCAGTGCTTCCATAGATGCCCAACCTAGTAACGGACGCCTTCTTTTTCAAATGTGAGATCGCAGCAAGGGAAATGTCCCCTCCAGTTATTTTATTTCCATACGCAGACGAGAATCGAGCATGTGTTTTATTTCCAAATGTTTTTCTCCAGATTTTTATATATTTTCTTCTTTCTGAGTGTTTTTCTCCATTTTCCCTGTTAAATTGATTCTGATAGTCATATTCAATTTTTTCCAGTCCTCAGATACCTGTTTACTCCTCAGAAAAAGGTAAAACTTTACAATGTGCCTGGTCTGATTACTGAGCTTGGGGAACGAGTCTCCACAGCTGTGGCATGCTAACGTTTGCGTTGGGAGTCCGAGCAGTCTGCCTAGTGTCTATAGTAAGACACCCACACACAGTAAGGGGTGCCTACTGACCACAAGCGCCATTTTGTCTGGCGTTAGTGGCAGTAATTTTATTATGAATAAGCTAATTTCTAGCCACCGAGAGGAACTTGGTTATGTAAGATGGCTGTATAAGTGATTCTTGATCTCTGTGTACTCTGTTAAATAGTTTAATAGCAAAACGAGATGCTGTTGCATTGATGCTTAGTGACCACTCCATCCTGTAGCATAACACACTTTCCTGCTTTCTTTTCAGTGTCATTCTAGTAAATGCATGTCCTCGGGCGTGACTCCATGCTTTTTGATCCTTTTTAAGCCCGACTCTTCCTCCTCTCCATCTGTTCCATATCTGCGAGCCGAGAAGAAAGCTCAGGTGCTCTTGCCTTCAGTTCTGGCAACAAGTGCAGACACTGGACAGGAACTCTGTGTTCCCACTCCATAAGTGTAAAAAAACTGTATGCCTTTTTTTTTACTTGACATTTAAACAGTTTCTAATTTATGTGAATTTTATTTGAGAGAGAGCTCTTCCATCTGTGCCTTACACCCTAAGTCCAACCACATCTTCCATCTGTGCCTTACACCCTAAGTCCAACCACACTGGGCCTGGATCAGGGTGCATCAATAGGGTCTCTGATGTGGGGAGCAGGAACCCAGGTCTGCTGCCTCCCCAGGTGCACGTCAGCAGGAAGCTGGTTCACAAACGGAGCTGGGACTCAAACCAGGCATTCTGAGATGGCGTGCTGATGTCCGCAGGGGTGCCTTCATTCCTGCGCCCAAGTCCCTGCCTGCTTTCCCAAGACAGCTGGCGAGGCGGGTCCTGTTCTGGAAATGTCCTGTTCTATGCACAGTCTGAACTCTCGTTCAATGAGTGTTTTTGCCATTTCTTCACTCTCAAAGGAAAGCCAGTGGTGGAAGTCCACCCCCGCCCCCTTGGGGTGCTCGCAGAGCCAATCGAATTGTCCTTGTTGGTATAGATCCTCTGCTTCCGTTCATCAGCCGTGTGTTGATGTGTTCACGTAGAAAATAGTCCAAGATGAGAAATACTAACCTTTGGCCACCACTAAATGGAAAATACATGTAAATTGGTCGTAAACCTGGTGATATTTGTTAACAGTTGGTTTTATAACAATGTTCTGACAAGTGTGCCATATTTGTATGACAGCTCCCTTCCCAGAATACTATAAAATGAGGAAGGAAAAGAAAACGGGAAAATTGCCTCAGTTTTCCTAAAAGGCTGAAGATAAACAGTTAAGACGGGAAGATAGCTGCAGATACTGTTTATCTCCATCTCCACTGCATTACCGTTGCCAAAGATCTGCCATCTAGAAACTTCTCTTCGGTCTCCTGTCCCACAATTTCTTCTTCCTGATCACCCCATTCGTGGCTGGAGTATCTGTTAAGGTGTAAACCAGATGATTGCAGTCCTGTCTGTACCCACCAGTCCAGCTACTTTGCCTGTATTTATCCCCTCTCTCACCTATTCCGACCATACTGCTGTTTTAACAAATTTATGAATTCTCAGAAGTCTATACCTTTAAATATAATGTTTTGCTGTGCTCCCTATTCAGCTATACCCATAAGCCTTCATAGCTCAGGTTGAAAGTCTCTTTTGTAGAGTGGACTTCCATGAGTTCATCTCAGCCTAACTCAGAATTCTGAATTTCTAATAACCTCTTGCTCTTACTTTTTAATCATTTATTAGCAGAATTTATAATTATTTATTTAATTCTGTATGTGCTTTTAAAAAATAGAATAGGCCCTTATGGAAGAAGTATGACTTTTTCAAGAAAAAAAAAAAAACAAAACAAGATTTATTTATTTCAAAGGCAATTAGAATCAGAGATACAAGCAGAAAAAGAAATGTATTTTCCTTCCACTGGTTCACTCTCCAAATGGCTGAATTAGCCAGGGCTATATTATGCTGAAGCCAGGAGCCTGGAGCTCCATGTGGGTGCCCTAGGTGAGTGGCATGGGCTCATTGCCTTGCCAGGAACACTTACCGGGAGCTGCATAGAAAGCCAGCCAGCCAGAACATCAACCACTGGGAGCATGACCTATTTTGATGCTTCTTGGGAAGCAAATCTCTGCTTGTCTCTTAAGTCTCTATACATCTTAGAAGCAGAAACAATGCCTGCTGTTTTCTCCTGTCAATCTTTACTATGATGACTGAATAGCAAAAAGCCTGCAGAGTCAGAGATGATATGTCCCAGGCTGTCATTCTTACTGCTCATTATGATATACCTAACTCAAAAGTCGTATATGCGTCTTACTCATCAAGTTCTTGTGCAACACATTCCCCATGTGTACAGGTGCCACCTTGCACTTCCACAGCACCTGGGAGAAGTTGGGCCACCTAACTTGACCCTGACTAAAGTTGATGTAAACAGTGAAGTGCCCTATCTAGCTGAGTCATGATTTTCATACCTTATTTTCATGCTCATAAATCTGCGAGATGCTAACTTGCAAATCTATAAATAGAATAAAAGCCAAGAGCCTAAAATCACAGTACTTGGATCAGATAGGTCTCTAAAAAAAGTTCATTAATTAGGTGAGGATTATGTCCTTTACAGAGAGAAGGAGAAACAGAGATCAAGTGAGAGAGGGGGGAGATCTTCCATCCACTGGTTGACTCGTCAGATGGCCATAATGGCCAGAGCAGAGCTGATCAGAAGCCAGGAGCCTGGAGCTTCCTCTGGGTCTCCCACATGGGTGCAGGGACCCAAGGACTTGAACCACTCTCCTCTGCTTTCCCAGGCTGTAAGGAGAAAGCTGGATTGAAAGTGGAGCTGCCAGAACTCCAACCAGCAGTAACATGCAGTGCTCTCTGTGGTAGGTGGGGTGTTATCTGGTGAGCCACTGCACTGGACCCTAGGTTATATCCTTTTGAAAGATTTGATTCCTCATTGTAAAAAAAAAAAAAAAAAAAAAAAAGAAAAAGAAAAAGAAAAAAAAAAGCAATGTAAATACTTTCATTATCTTGAGGAGGATTACAGATCTCCTGAAGTCACTTCTATAGATAAAAAGATCCTCATGAACTCCCAGTGTGAACACGCTCAGGTGAACTTCTGTTAAAACATTTGTAGCAAGACTAAGGCCAAGAGGAGACGCCTGTGTCTTAGTCTTCTCGGACACAATAACAGAACACCTTAGTCTGGGCAGCGAACAAACAGCAGCGTTGTGTTGCTCAATGTTCAGGAGGTTAGATGTGATCTACTAAGGCCTGCTGTGATTCTGAGACATGGGGCATTCTTGCTCCCAGGGTGACAGAAGCAGACAGGCTCCCTCAAGCCCTTATCTAAGGCACTAATCACACTCACGATCCAGCTACCTTTCCAAGGCCCCACTTTTAAATACCATCACCTTGATGGCTAGAGTTCAGGTTTCCTGCCAAAGGCCTGTGCAACCACCAAGGGAATCAGGCGACCGTGTTCCTCAGCAGCAAGAAACGCTGGAGACAGTCTGATCGAGCATGTCTGTTTATTGTAATGCAAGCACAAGCCTATATAGACTAAAACAGGGGAAGACAGGGGAAGACAGGGGGGCACCTCCCGACAGTCCTCCCACCCAACAATGGCACTGTAATTGGCTGGAAACCACATCTATCTCTCTAGACCCTCCAAACATGTCATAGGTCACGGACAACACTCACAGCTGGCAGTTATAGGCCGTGGGTTGTATATACTAGGTAGGCTGGCAGGTAACAGACTGCACCTGACTTCTCGGAGTTACTTCTCAAGAAGTCCAGCACAGTTCGTCCAAGGACAGAGAAGAAAGACTGGAGTGCAAGCCCACCGCTGTCTTCTGTATGACCAGTGAACAGGCCAGTTTGAGGTCTCAGTTTGCTGAAGCCGTTGTCCGGTGGTTTCCCCAGGGACCTCCCTCAAAGGCCAGGCAGGCAGGGAGCTAGGGATGATCTCCCACAAACAACATGCTGGTTGTGTTTCCACAGCTCCTGGTTCTTGCTGTTTTCTTCTTATCTTGGTCACCATCTCTACCACCATGCCAACCCCTTAAAATAATTCTAGAAACCAAAAATAAGACCAATTATTTTCCTGCTGTCAATAAAGTTCTAGACTATGTTGCCATTCAGAACATGAGTTACCAAAGTCAGGTTCAGAAACGATTAGACAAATCAATGGTCTGAACCAGAAAGGTGATTGAAGATGAGTTTTAAGGGAGAAGAGGTTTACTTAATACATAAGGAAAATGGCTGCACAAAGTGTAAGACATTAGCAGTGTGCTTCCAGCATCTTCCTCCTGGTTTTATTAGCAAAGACCCTACCTAGCACTGAACTGAAATAAACCACAGTTCACGCCCAAAGCCTGGCAGGTCTCATGCAGAGAGCCTAGTCGTGTTATCGACAATTCTCTGGTCTTGGGATAATTTTTTGAAATAATTTTACTTAACTAATAAGGATTTTTAAAGATTGTGTGCAAATAATCAGCATATGGAAGGTATAAGGATGATGACAGTGTAAGTTTTTTTAATAAATAATCACAGCATCTGCCTATGGTGCCTCACTTAGTATGTTCTGCCTTTGTTTTCAAATTATAAACTCATATAGTTGATACATCCTGGCATATGAAACTTTCATTCCCATAAGTGGTCTTCTGCTGATGCGAAGTTTCATTTGGTGTGACACAGTTGTATTTCTTGGCTCCACGGATCAGCTTTGAATTTATTTTGTTTTAGCCCTTGGAACTTACAACTAGTGGGCTTAGTCTTTATGTGCTTTTCATAGCAAGTTATTTAAATTTGTTTGTGTTCCTGAGTTATGAAGCCCAAACATGCACCATCAAATTGACATAGATTATGAGGGCACTATGTAGATTTCAGTTTCAGCGATTATTTGCTCATTGGGTTATGGCCAATCCAGTATCATGTCTGAATTTGATTTTCTTCTTTGTGAACTGGGATGTAAAATTAGTAGTTACTTCCAGGGCTGCTACAAATATTAGAGATATTTTATGCAGAGTATTCACATTTCATGAAGCTGTTGCTATACCTACTAGGCACAAGCACATGCAAACCTGAAAAGCATGTTTTAGCCGAGCTTTTCCAGAATGAACAGCCGACTCGGAGAAACCAAGCATGTTCTCCAAGACATCAGAGCTAGTTAGAAATGAAGTTAAGATTAGAACTCAAGTCTGTCTGGCCTCTGCACGGAGTCTCATTCTGTTGTGCTCTCAAAGGCCATGCAAATGCAGAAGACAAGAAGATGATGAGGCCATCGAGAGGATTTCTGCGTGCCTGGCTGAAGGGCCTGACCTGGGATCCAGAAGTTCTCCAAGTCTTCCTAAAGAGGTACCCAGGGAAGCCAACAATGTGTCTCTAACGGAATAAGCTTAGCACTCCTCATGCATTAGCAGAAAATGTGCTCATAAAGATGGATTCGTAAATTGAGTAGATGAACAGTTTAGAAAGTGTCTTGTGATAAGAAATAAAGTACTTGTGTTTAACTACAGTCTTGAACTTTTGACAGATTTTTAAGGGAAAGAGCAAAGACATTGTGACAGATACCACAAATACTACTGTGTCAGAGTTTAGTGTTGAATGTATTTTATTTTAAAAACCACTTATAAAAATGCTGAAACATTTCCTGGTTTAACTGCATTTGCATTAATATTGATCGTAATTTGGCAATGGCAGATTCACTCTAAAGTTATGAACAATAAACTAGCCAGTGGGTACTGCATTCCAATGACAGGTTCATCCATTGTGGGTGCTGAGAATGTTCCTTTATGGGACTTGCTCTATGGATTCTAGTTCCTGTGTTGTGTGACGTGGCTGTCCCTTACCATACCACATACAAATCCAACATTAATTTAATGTTCTCAGTAACTAAATGTACTCATTTATGTTCTTTCTAAACTTGATGAGCTAGGTTTCTCTTTATACCCCACGGTGACCAGTTTATGGGGAAGGACAAATGCTTGTTTTAGCCAGAATATACAAAGACAGCTTCCAGAAGTGGGTTGAAGAGCTCAATACAGCCCCACACTGGAGCACTTCTGAGGTGTTTCCCTGTCCCCTCTGTGACGCAGAGCCACTCGGGTGGAGCTACTGGAGCGTGTGGCCCAGAGGCGCCTGCCACGGCAGGGAAAGCCCGAGCCACCGCGGAAGTGGCGGGTGACTCCACGAGTCTGACAGGACATCTGCAGTGAGAACTGAACCTTTAGAATCACAGGAGTTTGCTCCTCTGTCTGCGTGAGCCACACTTTTAGTGAGGTGAGTTTATGTCTAATTTCAGATTCTTACCAGATGAAAACATGGACATGCCTTAAATAAACTTAGTTCATCAATTTAAGAGAATGTGTTGGGTGTTTTACAGGATTGCTTTAGGAGCATTAATTATAAATGTCTCATTTTTCTTGTATTGGCAACTTAATACATCAGTTTGACAGTTCTCTCAAGAATCATGACTTAATAATTAATGTAGTGCTGTTTGTTAATAATAAAAATGCAGAAGATGCCTCTTGGTAACTCACACAATCAGTTGTATCTTTCGTACCCCTTTTTAACTAATCTCTGTAGGAAACCTTCTCTGGCAGATGTTCTGTGTCCATTATAAGACATTCCAATTATTACAAAATGTAGCACTTCCAGATAGTACGTTTCTAAAAAACAATATTACCACAAAGGTAATGAGTCTAAATGGCTAATATCAAATGGATTATTAGCAAGATATGATAACGGGTATTTTAACACTCCCTGCAAGTGTCTGCTCAGGAGAAGTTGGGCTTTTTCACTTGACTTCCATACCATCTGTGCACATTGGCCCACTTGGTGCTTTTCACACCTGCCTTCCTTCCAAAGATGACATGCCAGGCCAGAAAGATTTCTCAAGAGCAAAACGAGCATTTTTTCAGCTTCGTCTGAGGTGCTTGTCAAACAGTACCAAAAGGAAGCCAATTGCAGGAGAAAAGCAGTGTGCTGTTTCAGCCCAGAACGCAGCACTGTTTAAAAACTTAGTTTTGGAGGATATGACCTCAAATGTCTGAAAGTCACCTGAAGATTTCTTTTTTTTCCATTTTGATGACAATCTGAAAAAATATGTAGGTAAGAAGAGCAAATGATTTAATCAGCTTAAAAAGCAAGAGCCTGCAGAAATTCTGAAATTCTGAAAGCCGATGTGAAATTATGGAGAAAGATATGACATCATGCGGAATGAAACTGTTGTCACAGAAACTGCAAGGAAGGAGCAGCTGGAAGCCCCGGGGAAGTGGAAGGAGCTCCGTGGACTGTCCAGCAGACTCTGCAGACCAGATATAACTGGAAGGAAGGAGCAGCTGGAAGCCCTGGGAAGTGGAAGGAGCTCTGTGGACTGTCCAGCAGTCTCTGCAGACCAGGCATAACTGGGGCTGGATGTCCACACAGAGAAGTAATGAATGTGGGCGCTCAGGGATGAATGACAGGCCAGGGGTGCTGACATTGATGATGGCTTGGGAGAGCTTCAGGACCAAGGATAGAGGGTGAGCCAGGGAAATAAAGGCCTTGCATTACTCACTGTCCTGGAATCTTGTAGAGTGGTAACCGAGTGAAAGCTCCCCAGGCAATACAAAGCAAGCTGCCCTGACACTGCAATGGACCACTTAACGTGCCAGTTGAGATGACACATACATGCCTGAGTGCATGGAGAGCACCAGCATGCTGGATAAGAAGACTTCAAACTCTACTGATATAATTGCACCAGAGGACAGAAAATTGGACAGTAAGCATAGGACTCATGAGCAGGATAACTTTCAGAAAGAATATGAATATGCCATTCATAGCAAAAGAACTATTATGCATATAAATAACCAATTGGATATTGGAACATAAATCTACACATTCCCATGGCTGAGCAGCAAAATTGACACAACTAAATAGTAAATCATTGAACTGAAATATGTGGACTGTATTAACAAAAAAAAAAAGCAGGATTCCTGGAAGACACATGTGGAAATTATCAAGTTCACCTTATGTGTATTCCAGATGGAGGAAATGGATACAATACAAGCAAATTATTCCTTAAGAAGACAGCAGACAGCTTCTGTGTGATGAAGAAAGATGAGATTAGTTATATTCAAAATTTCTCTTCAATGCTAAAGGAATAAATTTAAAAAGCAAAATAAAAATGTAAAGTGCGTCTCTATTCTGCACAGATCATAATAAAATTTCAAAATATCCACAGGAAAATGTTTAGGAACAGGCAGTGGGCACAGCGGTTGAGTCACTGCTTGGAAGGCCTGCATCCTGTGTAGCTGTTCCTGGAGTTCTGCTTTCTACCAACACGCGTCCTGGGAGCCAGCAGCTCATCACCCACGGGGGAAACTAGATTAAGTTTTCAGCCCTTGGTTTTGGTCTGTCCCAGCCCTGGATGTTGTAGGTATATGGGGAGTAAGCCAGTGGGTAGATTTCACTATCTTCCTCCTCTCATATCTCTCCCCTCTCTCTCCTTTTCTCCCCACGTCCCCTCTCCTTCCTTTCTTGCATTCTTTCCTCCCTCTCTACCTTTCAAATAAAAATAAAAATTTCAGAAATGTTCAGAAATCTGACAGGAGCAGGGAGGGGGACATTATCCTATAAAGAAACGAGAGTTAACATGTCAATTTCGCATCAGTTACATTGGAGGCACACATACTGTAAAGCAATATCCTTCACAGTGTGGGATTCGGCATTTCCTGTTTGGCTAAAATAGCAGTCAGTTTTATGGTAGTATCCACGGAACAAGAAGGTGCAGATAAGTATCATAAATCATGAAAACCAGGGAAATGCAGATTACAGAAGAATAGAAAAGCAAAGGGGTAAGAAGGCCAGGAATGTGGTCCCTAAGCCCGCCTGGGAGGACCTTGCCACGTTGGGGAGGACTGTCTTCTGAGATTAGATGACAGTGAGAGGGGTAGTACACCTTTAAAGACTTGGCGTAATCACTGAGGCATTCCTTTGGAACAGCCTGACAGCTACCATGAGTAAAAGCCCATACTTAGGTTTGCAGTGGCCAGCACCGCCTTTTCAGTGGCCATCTCCCCTGAGTGCATCTCGTTGCAGTCAGATCACTTCAATCTGCAGACTGCTACTTGGAACTATTGGGAGAATGTTACCTACCCGTAGTTGATTCTTATTACTTGAGCTAATGTAATAGCTGGTGTGATTATGTATAAATAATGTGCAATGATAATCACTTTAAAACTTTCTGTTGTATTTCAGAAGTTTTTGTACTTAATCCCAAGTAAGAATCTATCATCTTTAAGCCCAACAATATCAAAGATTAAAATATCACAAGGAAAGCTTTAAAAAAAAATATTTCTTTCCATTCTGTGAGCTGTTTTTTGTTGTTTCAGATTTACAACTTTGATCAAAGTTAATTCTCATGCACGTTGGCTGAAAACGGTGACAGGGACCCAGGACAACAATGCGTAGAGCTTCTCTGGCTGCCCTCCATCCTCTTGGATCTTCTGGACAGTCTCACATGAATGTGGTAAGGGATGTTCTCAGTGCTTCTGGCCCAGACATCTTGTTGACCCTGGTACCGATGCACAGCCTGGAGTCCCCGTCTCTGTCACGGCAGACATCTGGGTTTCTGTGAGTGACCCACAGACTCTTGAAGTGCACACTTCTTGGAGCTTAGGCCAAGGATGCACTTGTGAAGATTAGTGGTGCACCGTTTCTAGGTTTTACTTATTTATATTTGAAAGGCAAATTTTACAATTTTACGGGGAGGGAAAAAGAGACAAAGAGAGAAGGAGCTCTATCCGCTGGTCGACTCCCCAGATGGTCACAGTAGCTAGAACTGAGCTGATCCAACACCAGAAGTCGGGAGCCTCCTCCAAATCTCCTACATGGGTGCAGTGTCCCAAGGACCTGGGCCAGCCTCCATTGCTCTCCCAGGCCACTGGACTGGAAATGGAGCAGACGGGACATGAACTGACACACATATGGGATGCTCTCACCGGGGAACAGATTAGGCTTTTGTGCCGTTATACCAGTCCCATTGGTGGATTCTTGATCACCGCTTGCTTGATGGCAGAATGGCCCTTCTTCAGGCCACTGGTTTTTTTGGTTGGTTGGTTGTTTTGCAGGAGCCATCTTATAAACACCAAGTTGCAAAGAAAGGTGTGCATTGTCTTTTTAAAATTTTACGTATTATTTGAAAGAGTGTTACTGAGAGAGATGTGAGAGGAGGAAGAGAGATAAAGAGGCAGAGCGATGTTCTATATGCTGATTCATTCCTAAAAGAACACAGCAGCTGGGATTGGGGTAGGCTGAAGCCAGAAGCCTAGAACATCCCCGAGGCTTCCATGAGGGTGGCAGTGGCCAAACACTTGTGCCATCCTCTGCAGCCCTCTCAGGTGCATTAACAGGAAATGGAATTGGAAGTGAAGCAGCTGGGACGTCAACCAGTGTTCTTAGTGTTTTAGCCCACAATTAATATCTTCCCTCTGAGCTGTTAAGCCATGCCACAGCAGTGACCCTAAATTAAGCTCAAACCAGATACAATAATCTTTTTGAAAAAAAACTACTTTACAAAAAATCCTACTATTTCTGAACCATGGACAGTAGTTAAGGATTTCAATTTCTAAACATTCTTCCTGGTATAAATAAAGAGCATTAGGAAAGCAAAGGGGGATAGATTTTCCTAGAAGGATTAACTCAAGTAAACGTCTACCATCAAAAAGAAAGATGTCTGCCAAGTACCCAGGCAGGGGGTAGATGCTTTCACAGGCCAGCAGATGGTAAACAAGCTGCCACAGATCAGATGCAGTGCTGTCTGTTGGACTGTAAAGTGTCTAGCTGCACAACATACGCTTCTATGTCAGGTTCACTTCAAGAGAGATCAATACGTTTTGTTAGCAGTGGCTATTGTGTGTCTGAGCCGAGACAAATGTTACTCTTGCCCAGGTTGGTAGAGGTATATGGGCATCTCTGACAGCAATTAGCAGCACACAATTAGCACTAAGGACCTCTCGCATCAACATTGAAGAGGCGCTTCTCTTTTAGCACATTCTATACCTGTTACCTTTGGCTTAAATCGGCTTTTCTTTGAGTTTGGAGACAGTGAAATTTCAAGTTCAATTCCAAATCAAGAGGAAAGGTGTGAACTCTCTGACATTATTTTAAAAACTCCCCAACGCATAAAACTGCTTTTCTTTCAGCGAACAATCTGGAGTTGCGAGTCCATTAGCTGCTTCTGCAGGACAGGGTCAGATACTTGATAAGTAGCTGTCCTAGAAATTTCTGGAAATTGGAAGTAACCTTGTAAGCAGATCAGAAGAAAATCAGATTCCTTCCATGAGTCATTGCTTTCTTATATTATTAATCCTACATAAAAGAAATGGACTCCCAATGGAACTGTTCAGTATATCTTGACAAAAGATACACTCTGTCATTGTCCATGCCTGCAATGATGGACCTGTGACTGTTTATGAAGAACTATACTAATATAGCAATATAGGGGAATTTAGTAGGGGAGAGGAGATCTGGGGAGGCCTATGGAACCGTATCATAAAATAATAATAAAAATGAAAAAAATCAATTAAAAAAGAAACAAAAATTGGATCATTCTGATATCTTCTTTATCTTCAGTATAATTACATTGCATGAATTACAAGTTCAATTTTATAACAGTACTAGGAATTTACCCCATATGTAAAGCCAACATCATTATGAGATGCCATCCATCCACCCCTCCAAAACAAGAAAAAGCAACTCTGGAGAAGTGCTTCGGTGCTGTTAGAACCAGTTGTGTCCGGGACCCAGCAGCACAAGCTGATTTCTCATCCTTAGCAGGTGCCAGGCCTACTTACTTCCCTTTAATTTTCATTGGCAAGGTGTAGAGATACGTATCCCACATAAATGTTCTACAGGCAGTTTTATTTTCTTCTTCAATTATTTACTGAGTTATTTCCACTTTATTTGGAGGGCACACACACATAAACATTAGGAGAAAGAGAGATTCCCCCATCTGCTTCTTCAGTCCCAAATGCCCTCAAAAGCCAGCACTGGGCCTGCTTGAAACCAGAAGTCAGGAGCTCCACCTGAGCCTCTGCAGGGCTGGCGGGGACTCCCAGACTGAAACCAGGAGACAGGAGCCCCACCTGAGCCCCTGCAGGGCTGGCGGGGACTCGGACTGAAACCATCGCTGCTGCCTCCCAGGAAGCTGAAGCAGAAGCCGACCTGAGATTCAAACCCACACTCTGTGGTGTAGCTTGCAGGTGTCCCAAGCAACATTCTAACTGTGCCAAATGCCCACCGCTTGAGGCAGTTTTTTGAGTTCAAATCCCAGCTCTTGCATAGGACATAGTGATGTGTTAAAATTGCCCTGTATCCATTTCAACAAATGTGTATTAGCCTTAGAGGTAAGCAAGTGTGGAACTTAAAACCTATGGGTGGAGGGGCAATCTTCGTTACATGAGCTCAGGACCTAAAAAACAGCACGAGGAAAGTAGAAGGCACACAGCTGGCACATGTGCCCGGAGCCCGGAGGGGTCTGTACAGACTTCATGAACCTGAGCAGTTGGATGTAGACCCCAAGGGACTGCTGACTCATTAATAACTTAGAGAAGGACAGTAAAACAGAAGACAAAGCTTAAATAATAACCTCCTGAAGGACGGTGCTGGGAGAGTCTCATGATATTCTTGGTTTAATGGAGAATCACTAGAGAATTTTAAGCAGGAAAAAAAATGATACAAAGAGATAGGTCATGAAATGCAATAAATAGTGGCTTTATCAGTGTGATAACCATGTTAGGAAGAATATTTTAGACTTCCTTTTAGGGGTTTAGGCAAAAAAAAGAATGACAGGAAGAAATCTTATTGTCATAAAACAAAGTGAAGAAAACTCAGTAACTGGTTAACGTGCTTATGGAGGAAGAAAAAGAAGAGGAACTGTGGTTCTCAAAAAGCTGCATCCTGAAATTGCCCAGGACAGACTGAAGGCTGCAGTCAGGCTGATGGACTCACACAGTTCTCCTGACAGAATTTAGAAAGCCTGGAATTGCATTTCTGTCCTGTTTGAGATGTGCACCATCCACAATCCAACAGGGCCTTTCTCTAGGACAGGGGGTCACCCCTTTGAAATGCATACTAGTGTACCAGTGTGAGCAGAGTGGAAGCCTAACTTCAGTAAGCAAACACAGGTGGCTTGTTCACTCACCAACTTTTCCCCCAACAGCCTTCAGAAGTTCACTAACTCATCCCAGTCCTTGAAGACTTTTCTGCTAAGGCCATTACCTGGTACAGTTCAGTGGGTTAAGCAACTGCCTGCTTCTGGCATCCCAACTGCTCCATTTCTGACAGGCTTCTTACAAACACACACGGGAAATCAAAGAAGGTGCCCAGTCCTTGGTCACCAGCCACCCATGTTAGAAACTCAGAGTTCCAATCTCCCGGCTTCAGCCTGAACAGCCACAGCTGTTGTTGCCTTTTGGCGTGTTACCCAGCAGATGGAAGATCTCTTGTCTGTGTCTCTCTCTTTCTCTCATCTCTCTCTTAAGTTCTCTTTGTAACTCTACCTTCCAAATAAACAAATAACTCTTTTAAAGTATCTATTACTTACAGTTGAGCCTAGCCTAATTTTTATTTTTTTTTTAAATAGTTTAGTCTGCATTCAAGAATCAAAAAATTTTACCAACAACATTTCATTCTAACAAAGACTGACATGATTATCTGTCTTAAATTGCTTGGAGAAAAAAAAAACTGTGTTAGGCATAGTGGAGAACTTCATGATTAGCATGTGTGTTTGAATTTTTTCTGTGAAGAATTATACTTTTTGACAGAATTCAGAATCACTGGATAAGTTGTTCCGCCTCTGATAATTATGTCAACCGAAGATTTCAGTTACTAAGAATAATAGAGGAAGTGGCACACCAACTTAAATGTATATTATCTTCTGATACTAAAAATGAAAATGATAAAAAAATTTCCTCTGGGAAATTATCAAAGTAGGATAAATTTCTCTTTAAAATTCATGGCTCATTTTTAAATTCTTTCAGCAAATATTTGCTGACTACTCAGAAGTAGAGATACACTTGGGGTGAATGGTCGGTGAATGTCACAGCATGCTAATTGTCAATTTCATAGCTGTTATTTCATTAATCCTTCATGAATATATTCAAAGCACAGATATCCATGTCCTGTTTTGCAGCTGAGCTTTTTGATTACAGATGACAGGAAGGTGAGGTCAAGGCTAGCTCACCTGTGTCCTGAGTCCTGTTAATGTGCTTGGAGGAGACAATGCACACGAAACATTCAACATGAGGGCTGCATGAAAAGTTGTTGCTGTTAAAAACGCTGATTCTAAAATTGTTCTTGTGGCAAGTATCAAGTAACTTGAGGGCTCTCGTGTATATCCCAGGTGATGTAGGAATTGTCCTTCCCCATAGCCAGAAAAAAGGCTAATATTTCAGAGGATTGCTGTCAATGACCCATACAACTTGCTACAACAGAAAAAAAAGTGATTAAGCTACTTAACTGTTAAGG